TCCCTCTCTCCCTCCTCCCCCCCCCCGCCCTGCTCCTGCCTTGCCTGGCACTGTCGACGGATCCCTCCAGCGTCCCTCACTCCACTCCTCGCCCCTCCGACAACACGCGCGCGCACGGCACCCACGCGCTCGGCGCACACATACACACACACACGCGCACCCACCCGCCTGCGGCGCGCGCGCGCACCTCCACCTCCCCCCTCCCCTGACGCCCGTACGGCCCCCCCCCCCTCCCCTCCCCTCCCCCCTGCAGGCTCCCCGTTTCCCCGGCGATTGAGACTAACCCTCCAGCTCTCCGGACGCTCGCGCGCGCCTTCTCGCTCTGCCCTGCCCCCCTCCAGTCCATCCCCTCTTCTCGTCTGTATGACCCAGTCCCCTCCCGTCCGGCCGCCGCTGAGCGGTAAACGCTCCTCGCCAGCGGTTCGCCCGCAGATGGACCCGATGCCCGGCTCGCCGACCGGCGCGCAGGCGGTCCGCCCGTTGCAGCCCCTGTCCCCGACCATGTCCCCGACATCGGCCCCGGGGCCTGCCGCCACCGCCACCGCCAGCGCCACCAACACAGCCACCTCCCCTGGGGGTGGTGCCGGCGCCGCGGCTCCGGGCCCCGGGCGCAAGTCCCCGACCCCCCGCCCGGCCCCGATGCCCGGCACCACGGCCGGGATCTCCTCGGCCGCAACGTCGACCGGCACCGTCCGGCCGCCTCTCAACCCGCCGTCCGGGTCCCGGTCGCCCCCTCCGGCCGCCGCCGGCGCCGCGGTCGCTCCCGGGAGCCCCCCTCCCCGGGGCAACCCCACCGCCGGGCGTGGCTCTCCCCGGCCGGTTCGCTCGCCGCCAGGCTCCCCGGCTCAGTCACCGCGCGCCGGGTCCTCCGGTCCCGCATCTCCCCGCGCTGGCAACGGCAATGGCAACGGCAATGGCAATGGCAACGCCGGCCGTGGCGGTGGTCCGCCGAATGGTGGCCCACGCGCCGGCGGCTCCCCTCCTGCCTCCGTGGCCGGTGTCACCGGCGCCCAGCCAGGCCCGGCCGCCGACTCGGCCGCCGACACCCCCGCCGCTCCTCGGGCGCAGTTCCCCGTGTGGATCAATCTCCTGGAGGCTGGCAGCCCGGTGACCATCACCCTGAAGGCCCCGGCGGCGACGCCGCTGTCCGGCATCGTGGCCGCCCTGCACTTGGACCACGGGGTGGTCATCCTCTCGCTGATGGCCCAGCCGCCGTATCACTCGGCCCCGCCGCGCCTGCTGGAGTCGCACCTGGTGTTCCTGGCCCAGGTGGAGTCGGTGGTCCCGCTGGACCTCAGCACCGTTGCCGGGCACCTGCACCACTTCGGCCCGGAGCGGAGCACCCTGCCGGCAGCCGAGCTGGCCCGCATCAACCATGTTGTCCCGCTGGCGGAAATCCAGTCGGAAATGTCCCGCTGGGCGCGCGAGGCCAATCGCCATGTCCGTCGCATTGCCCCGGAGACCGTGTCCAACCTCGGCCAGAAGGTCTTTGATCATCTGTTCCGGACGTGCGTACGGCAGTTTGTGACCTCGCCTCCGGCCCAGCACCTGTCTTTTTTTATGCCGCTGCCCCGGCGCCATGCTCCCCCACGTGCCCCCTCTAACCGATTGCTTGGCCTCGGCACACGCACACGCACACGCACACGCATACCGCGCGCTTAGCATGCCCTGCAAGTGGGACGGCACGTCGATCGTTGTCATGGATGATGTGGTCATCGCCGGGCCGCTTTACCGACCGGAGGATACGACCCTGCTCCACCCGACCGACGCCTCGGGGAATGAATCATCATCAATAGCCCTTGGCCGTGTTCGCCAGCTCGTGCGTTGCCTCTTTTCCCTTTTCCCTTTTCGCTTGTCTGTTCCTCCTCCTTCCACATGGTCTGTGCCCCCCCTGCGCCTCCTTGTCCGATGCGCCTCGGGAGGTGATACATGCACCCCGTGCCCCGGGGAATTGTCCACTGACACGCCCCACTTCCGGATGTGTTGCTGGGCGGGGGGGCCTCCCGCGCGCAGCTCTCCAAGGCACACTCCCAGATCCAAGCCTGAGCAGGGGGGGGGCGCTCTCTCCCTGCCACCGGCGGCTGGCCGCCTGCCTTTTTTTTTTTTCGCCCCCGCCGCCACGCCCCACGCGTGCACCTGGGCCTACCTCCCTCCTCTCCTGCCCCTGTCCCCCCTCTCCCTTCCCCCGACCCATCCCCTTGACCTTGTTCCCACCCCCAACCTCCCCGCATCCATCTTCGAATATCAACCGCTCAAACCCCACTCAGGGCTGGAAAAGGGGGACGAGAGCGCTCTCGTGTGCCACCCTCGCGCCTCCCCGGCCATGATGCCGGCATGCCAGCACCAGACCTGCCAGTCCCTCTCTCCCACTGCCCTCCTCCCGGCACCGCCGCCGCCACCGCCATCGCCACCACCACCGCTGCATGCGCACGCCTTCCCCGCAGCCACCCCCCTCCTCTCACCCCTCACGAAAGGCCCTCCTCCCCCTCCTCCTCCTCCTCCTCCTCCTCTCTTCTCCTTCCACCGCCAGGGTGCGCTTGCCTTTCCCTGCCTCTTCCCCCTCCTCCATGCGGGCATCCTGCCCCCTGCCTGCGCCCAATGGTCGATCACACGACAACACGCTGCGCGCCGGACAGGCCCACACGCGACCATGCAGGAGGAAGGGAGGGGGGAAACGAGCATGCGAACGAGCAAGCGAAAGCAAGCAGACGACAAAAATGGCTGCCTCTCCGTGCGCACACGCACATACACGGATGCGCATGACACCCCGCCCAATACATGTACAACATTCCACCGGCGCCATGCGTGGGTAGATCGGAATGGTGTTTCCCGACGTGGGCGTTGGTATCTGGGCTAATGGAGGGTGGTGGCCCGCGTTAGCCCGGCCTGTCTGTGATCGACAAGCAACGACCCGGAGGACCTTCTTCTCGAGCCGGCCTCGAGATTGAGGGGTGGGGGCGAGGAGAAACAGAGGGCGGGGCAGCAGAGCGGCTGTGCTTTTGGAGCCCCTTCGTGTTGCTCTTCTTTTTTTTCTTCCCCACCGGGGGAGGGGGGGGGGGGGGTGATCAATAAAGGGGTACCCTGCCCGAACCTGGGGGGAGCAACGGGGCGGCGGCGGAGACGGGCGTCTTCGCGGCCATGCCCCTGTGTTGGAGCACGACAGGAAGCCTTGGAGCGCTGGCGTGCGGGTGGGGCGACAAGAGGGAGCCCCGTTTTTCTGGGCCCGGCCAATACTGCTTGCCATTAAACAAAAGGGCACTTACGGGGGCTGGACGAAAATCCATGCTTGTTCGCCGGTGAAGGGCATGCCCTTGGCGGAGGCCTTTTTCACGCTGCCGATCGGGAGTCTGAGGGTCTCTCCCCCTGGGGGGGGGGTCGGGAGGAATGCCGGCTGGGCGGCCCGGCGTTCGGCGGTGAACATCCCCATACAAAAGTACGTATACCGCAAATGCCCTCGGATAAATGAGCACCACAGATCCGGCATCCGCGGCGTCTCCGGCCGCGGACGACTGGCGCGCTCGTTGGGGGCAGGCCGGGGGGGGGAGACGGGGAGAGCCTGGCGTCAGGACGGCCACGGAGGGGACAGCTATGAGTTGGCAGGTGTTCGTCGACCAGAGCGGGGACAGCCCTCTGCGGCCGGCCGGCTGGGACAACGGCCGGGGGCGGGGGAGTCATCCCAGCACGGGCAACTCCCCCAAATGGCGTGGAGGGGCCGCGAAGCGCCCCGGATCCCGCAGCCTTGGGCTGGGACTTGGGGCTGCAGCGCAGTGGCAAACAGCCAGACCGGACCTCGGGGGGGGGGGGGAACCGTTGCCCGTCCGGGCCTCTCCCCGTGCGGGGGGGAGGGCGGGGGCGGTGGTGCTTTCCTATCAGGTCATTTCAAGCTTCCTCGGGTGTCCGACCGGATCCCTCCCTTCCGGGACACACGGGCGGGGTCCGCGCGGGTGCTCGGCCCGGGCGGGCGACCAAAACAAAGGGCCCCGCCAGGACGCGCCCGGCCCTCCGGCCGTCGTGGCGGACCTGGCGTTCCCCGACTGGTTCCCGCCGGACCCCTGCCCCGCCGGCGAGAATGTGAGAGTGACTGTGTGTGTGTGTGTGTGTGAGTGTGTGTGTGTGTGTGTGTGCGCGCGCGCGCGCGCGCGACGGCGCGCCGACGCACGGGAGCCCCTGCTTTCTGGCACAGGGCGGGCCGGGGCAGGGTGAGGCACAATCCGGCAGATTTCGCCTCTTCCGCTGGCGTGTTGTCCGGCTTCGCCCATTCGCAGTGCCTCCATCCCCGCCCCTCCCTCCTGCCACTGGCCACCCCCTCCATCCCATTCTCCTTCTCCCTCCCTCTCTCTCTCTCTCTCTTTCGCTTGCCCGTCTCCTGCCCGCGCACCTGGCCTGACGTCGCTACCCGGAGAGGCGCCTCCTCCCTTCCCTGCCTGCACCCCCCCCCCCTCTCCTCCTTACTCTCCCGTGTGTAGGGGCCGCCCAGCCAGGTGTGTGGGTCCTCTTCCTCCCTCTCTCTCTCTCTTTGGCGATAGTGCCCTCCCGCCC